CCCTCGCTGGGCTCTCGAAGTTGAAGGCCGGCTTCAGTCCTTATATCGTACGGCAAGCCTCCACAAGACCTGCGACGCATCGCCTCTTACAATATTCGTGTCGTTTGTGGTTTCACCTACTTGCAATCTCGCATCTCACGTTTTCCAACTTCATTTTCTCGTTTCGTGAATATGACGTCTCTTTTCGGGTTCTTTTCCACGAAATACTCTGATTTACATCCTCCTCAGAACACGTTGCCTCATACAGACAAATTTAAAAGAAGAAGGAAAGGTTCATGTCTGATATGTACCCTGGAAAATGACGCATAAAAATTGTCAGAATTATACATGATTTTCAGCAATTGAACTTTTAATGGACGGTTCATCTCCTAACTAGAGAACAGAACAATGATAGGACTGGTCATCCGCGTTGCAATTTATGCGTTTTTAACGAATAAATATTCTACAGACGTGCCTGATAAAAGTTACACATAAGATAACGAATGCATGTAGAGAGGAAGAGAACAAAGACATTCGAATCAGAGGGGAAAAAATAGGTGGTAGGAAAGAACTACCGACTTACTTATGACCGATTTGGCTGTTTGCGTGTAAGCAGGGGGTTGTCTCTCAATTATTTAAGCTCTATGATGCATTACCCCTACCTTCCAATGAGATCACCAGTGTGCCGACCCTATTATGCTTATTTCCCCCCCAATGACACAACAAAGATCGGCATCATGATTTCCATGAGAGTGAAGTTTGGTCCGCAGATGTGAAGGACAGAATTGCGAACGATGTCATGCGTGATATCTCGGTTTAAAGTTTGATGAAATATGCATATTTGACTGGGATCCTTACTTACATCAAGCAAAGCGCTGTAGAGGCTTTTAAGGGAGCAAGAAAAGTTCAGAGAGCTTCTTAACTCTCTAAATTTAAAAATTCAAAGCGAGCAAAATTTCGGAGAAACCTCCGGGACTAAATGGGCCCAGCTGGGAGGCTCGACGAAATGCCCGGGAAAATCAATACAGGCCTATTCTTTAGCAAACTCGCATCGATTTTCTCACTTTCTTTCATGCATATTCTGCATTAAAGTAGTTATCTATTTGTCGCCCCTTAAATGTAGCACTTTTCATTGTTTGAGGGCTACAATTAATGCAGTAAGGCGACGGAGGTTCAAGTCTGAGAGTAGCAACTCGTTTCATAAGCTTGTTCCATGTCTTATTACATCCAAGACAGGAACCACATCTCAGTAGAGATTCAGATAAGACTACCTTTGAGCTCGGCAGCATATTGGTGCCGTCATCACACGATGCGGAATTCGAGCACAAAAAGAAAGACATGGACAGTCAGCCTCCGTAAAAGTATCCACCGGTTTTTCCATCCGCAATACATTACATCTGCTGTGATGCTCATCCTTTTGGCTATATCTTCACCGTCAATACCTTGTGTAAAGGCCTCCACAATGGCAAAAAATCCACAAATTGCGAAACCTCCCCACGTCCTTATGATTGTCGTCGATGATGCGGGTGTTCAAGATGTGGGGTATAACGCAAGGTGAGATAGTGCCGAACTCTATTTCCTGTGAGATCTACGATCTCACTTCGCTTTCGGGTGATCTTTGAGCTTGCTTCAATGGCCGTAGATTCATACGGTAGTGTGAAACCTCAATTAACACAGGTTCCGGTCTTCTCTCTTCTATTCCTTTCCCTTCTCATTCCAGTCCTGAGTCACCTCTTCGGGGCAAGACCCCCGTTTTGGACTCATTGGCCGCCGAGTCTGTACGTCTTAAGGAATACTATGTCCATCCGGTCTGCACACCTACGCGGGCAGCTCTGCTGACAGGTATGTTAAGGAGATGCGGGAAAGCACTGGGACCGGAAAACACTGGGACCTGCCGGGAGAGATCGCTTCTGTATAAAAGCTTCCCACGTTTTCGGCGCTTCCAAACCGCATTTTATCTGCGACACGTCCTCAATTTTGACTTGTTTCGCTCTCGGAACCGCGAATGCCTAGCACGCACCACGAATTCAGAAGAAATGCCCCTTTGGTTCTCCATTAATTTCACGACAACTTTTTCACGCGTAGCCTTCTCTCCATTCCCAACCACCGTCCTCCTTTCTGTAGGTCGCTATGCCGTGAACGTCGGTATGCCTTTTCCCTTAATCGGGGACGCAATTTCTGGCCTTGATGGGAGCATACCCACATTACCTGAAATGCTGAAGTAAGTCACACGTGACCTTGTATTTTTCACCCTTGGTCGGAGTACGCCTTCTAAAAGCTTATCGTATAAAAGAAAATTAGGAATATGGCACGTGTCTGAGCATGTGATGTGTACACTTCTCTCCCAACAGGAGTGAGGCTAACTACAGTACGCACCTTGTCGGGAAGTGGCATCTGGGCGCAGCCAAGGCCAAAAATCGCCCTCTGGCCCGTGGATTTGATTCCTTTTACGGCCTCTTAGGTGCCAGCTTTGATCATTATACCAAAAAAATGGGAGAGGTGCGAGACTTGTGGAAGAACGAAGCGGAAGTCCCAGCCAAGGAGGTGGATGAAAAGGAGCACGCCACCACTCTCTTCAGCCGGGAGGCTGTGAAGGTCATAGAGGAGCATTCTGCCCGGGGACATGCGGGCGCAAAGGATGGAGATATGGATCCTCTCTTTCTGTACTTGGCCTACTCGGCTCCTCACGCCCCCTTACAGGCGGACGAGAAATTCATGAAGCTGTGCAGCGATGTGCCGAACCGGCATCGGCGGACTTTCTGTGCCATGATGGCACAGTTGGATGAAGGCATTGGGAATGTGACAGCAAGTTTGAAGGCGCATGGCATGTGGGAGGACACGGTTGTGGTGTTTACCAGTGATAACGGGGGCTACTTCCTGGTGGGCGGATTCAATTATAACTACCGAGGTGGCAAAAGCGGTGGATGGGAAGGTGGTGTCCGGGTCCCCGCCTTCATTCGCGCACCGAAACGATACAATTTCGCCCCCAGGGATTTTAGGGGAATGGCGCACGTGGCTGATTGGATGCCAACATTGATGGGCATGGCGACTGGGAGGGAAGAAGGGAGGGAGAGGATGGGAGATGGCTACGATTTGAGGAAAGCTTTCCGGGGAGATGAGGAGGGTGGAAAAGAGAAATCGCCTAGAAATGAAGCGCTGCTTCAACTAGATATCTTCCAGAACACGTCGGCGTACAGGAGTGGGTGCTTTAAGTTGCTTCTCGGGTGCCCGGGGATCACAGAGCTCAGCTTGGAACCGACTGAGACCTTGTGGGTGGTCAAAGACGAGGAGGAAGAAGAGAAAGAGGAAGGGGAAGAGGAGAACGGTGTAAGAAAAATTTCGCCCTTTATGAGAGACGTTGAGGCGAAGCTTTTGGAGTGGATTGCCGACTTGTTGGATGCGATAATGTAAGTGAAGGGGCAGGTAGGAGACAAGATGAAGTCGAGCTTGACAGTATTCTATTAGCCCGTATATCACAGCATATCAATTGCTGAGTGATCATCATACCTTTCATGTTTCGCATTTTGGGGCCCATACTACGTCTTCCAGGTCGCCTGCTAACAACCAGGGCATCAAGTATCTCGCCTTTCTTAACATAGCACTCTTCAATGATTGGTGGACTCGTACCTCCTTTTTTAATTTCTTAAATTCCCGATACCAGGTAACGAGGGGGCGGAAACTTTCAACTATAGGCCGGCAGTACTGTGCACTGGAATCATACAATGTTGTCTAGAATTTAAATGGTCCCCGAGGAAAAGTTCGGGGAACGGAAACAGCCACTTTCGGATTCTTCGCCCCGCCTTGCCGTGTTGTTAATATTGCACAACAACGAAGACGTGTCCTCCCTCCCGACCTTTTTCTTCTTCTTCTCTCCCCCTCTCTCTAGGACCTAACGATGTGGAAGGGGACCCTCGGCGAGCACGGCCCTGTCTTAGATTGGAACCGGGACCACGGCCCCAAGATCATGCTCTACAACCTCTGCGAGGACCCGGAGGAGAGGCACAATCTGGCCTTCAAGAAGGGAGGAAAATACGTGGTAGACAGGCTTTACAGAGAAATGATGTCGATTGTCAAAGATGCGCCCCTTCAGTTTGCCGGAGACCTGGTCATTTCTTTGCCTGGAGAGCGAGGAAGGAACCACAGCGAGTTCCCCTCGCAACCCTTCTTGCAGGAGGCGGAGGACATCTCCACGTTCGCTTGGGTTCTCGACCGCGGTTTCCATGCGCTGAACCGGCGCATCACGTACTTGGTCCATGGCCTCTCGGTCTTGTTGCTTTTGACGATAGTCTGGGGGTGGTGCGTTGTGGAAAGCATATTTGAGGAAAAGAGGAGAAAGAGGGAAATCGGCGCCCTTAAGAAGGAGTAGAGAGCAGAGGAAGGGATGGTAAATCTCCAAGGTAGGGATCCTAACGTCAGGGCAAGGATAATGAAAAAAAAGGAAGAGCGTGACGCTGCGATTAGTGGGCGTAGAGGGTATCATCGGGATAGGAATGATGGAAGTGGCGATGCCGCGTACAGGAGAGTTAAATAGCAGAAGCTGTTGATAATATTTAAGTATATGTAAAACCCATAGAGAGACCGCTGTCCATCTCAGCAAGTAAGAGACCAAGCACTGGAATGACGGAGGATACGAAGAGTCAATGACACAGGAGCCTCGGTGCGGGCCCCGCGGCAGTCTTACTCCAGGCATGAGAAGTAGCTGAACAGTGTTTGAAAACGAGACGAATTGAGCGGAGACATGTCAAGTGGTGTGTGTGGGAGTGTGCCTCGTTCTGAATGCGATCACCCGTTTAAGATTCATTCATCCCAGAAGCCTTTAAAGCTTGAGATATTTCTAAATTTGAGAGCGTCAAATCGTATTCAGAAAAGCGTTCGAAAAAAAGAAATAGAGGCATGATGTGTCTCAAGGATCAAAATTGCTTAAACATTTCTTATTGCTTTGTTTGAGACATGTTCTTCAACCGAAAGGCATTTACCCTTGTCCCTATATTCGTAGTCGCCCTCCACAAATCTTTCCTATATTACAGCGTCCACGTCATCATATCCACCTCCAACAAAGACTCCAGAACCATCTCCCTGCTTGTCCCTATCGCACTCGCCAAGTCCTCCTGTTTCCCCACACTTAAGCCTGCGAACCGCCACAGCAACTCCCCGTCCAGCGTCCCTTTTTTCCGGCCTTGCGCCCATCCACGCGCCTCCACCAGCCGGAAACCTCGGGGATTGAAGGCCCCCACGTGCGGCAAAGCATTGACCATCACGGCCTGGAGGGCGTACAAGCGCCGGTAGACTTTTTCCTCCACCGGCACCAGCGCCCCGACTCCTCCCTCCACGCTCCCGAACACCATGACTCGGACTCCGGCTCGATAAGCACCGGGGCGAGGTACCTCGGCCATCCGTGTATGTTGGAGGAAGGACAGGCGGTGGGAGAGGTGGAAGTCCGCCCGTCGTACCAACCGGTTTCCTCCTCGGGACTCCACGTCGGCAGGATCGTACTGTAACAGTTGCAGATTGCCCCGGGAATCCCCGACGAGCATGCCCAGGGAGGGTGGATCGACGACAAAGTGCGAGCCTCCCGGTTGCGCGGAGACGATGGGTGAATAGTCCTTTCCCATCAGTTCCAGCGTGTGGGCCGGATCGTGCTCGTGCCAGCGAAGGAGGTGGACGGAATGGTAGGCGTCCGTGACCGCCACCAGCGTCTTCACGACCCGCAAGGAGACCACGTAAAAATCTGCGTCGTAAAAGGCGATCGGCTTGAGTTTCTCCCGGGCCGAGAAGGCATACACCCAGAGGGTCGGGCCCGCAGCGATGATGATGTGCGGACCCAGCTGGGCAATGGCCGTGGGGGGACCCGAACGTTGGGAATACTGGTCGACCAGGGTGAGGGTGGGGGGAGACGTCAGGCCCGCGTACGGATCGAGCGAGATCCGGTACATGAGCAGCCGCCCCTTGCTGGGCACGTCCTCGCCTTTGGCCCGGACAGTGCACGTGCCGACGGCCAGGTAGGTATCGGCGGCCTGGAAGGGAGGGAGGTCGGCGGGGGGCGGGGCCCGATTCGGGTAGCGTTCTCGAAAATGGGATTGGTGGGAGGGCGGCCCCGGGGGAAAGGCGGGGGTGGACGGGGACCGTCGGTGGTAGACCATCAGGGCCAAGCCCCGCTCAAAGGGCTCCAGAGGGATCACGGACGTGACTCCGAAAGGCGCCCCCCCCATGATGAAAATCTGGTGGCCGCCCGCCCAGACCGCGGGGAGGGGAGGGCCCCCCAGGTATTCTGCCTTGGCGGAGGTGAAATCCGTGAGACGCTCGCCCGTCTTGGTCAAGCCCACATCCACTTGCGCGCTCGCCCCCACCCGCTTGGATGC